TTTAGTACTGGGGGATTGAACTGGGGACCTTGTGCTTGTGAGGCAGGTGGTGGTACTACTGAGCTAAATCCCCTGCCCCTGAATGTCTATCTGAATGTCTATTTTTTATTCATTAAAATTTATATACTTTGTGTGTATATATCTGTAAACTTTGTTTTAAGAACAAACCTACACTTAAGCTGTCCTAGCTTGGAATAAAATAGTGACATTCTGAGAGGCATCCAAGCATTTATTCAGTGAGCAAATACTGATTAAGCACTTACTTTGTTCCAGACACCAGGAATAAAGCAACAGAGAAGATGGCCCCAGTCACATACAGAGCCAGCCAGAACAGTGGCAGAGTGCCCTTTTCTATTGAGAGACCATCACAGAACTGCTTGCTCCCTTGTGGAAGAGAGTAATGGTCCAGGTACTGTCCTCTCGCGCTTGGTGTCTGGAAAAGGTGCATCAGGGACTGCAACCTTTTGTCCTACAGCAGCCCTGGCAAAGGAATCTGAAAGCAATGCTAGAAATTCTGCCCTCATATTTTCTTGAATCTAAATATCGGAGATACTGAATCATGATGGGTTTCCTGAGGAGGTCATCACGTTGAGTCTCCAATCTGATGGCAGACCAAGAGGAAGGGAATCTATCAGAAATTCCTAATGTTTGCAGAAATCCCAAATTGAAGGTTCTTGGCTGTGAAGGCCAAGACATTGGACATTGACGTCCAGAGCCTGGAAGAGCCTAAGGGGGTTGACTAAGATTGAGAGGCAGCATGATGGTTTCTGGAGATCTTCTTTCTGTCATTCTTTTCTTTCTTTTGGATAAGAGGAGCACTGCATAGCCCCTCCGGGGTTTGAAAGAGATGATTCTCTCAAGGAAGTGCCTCCTGTAGAAGCAGCTTGAATTTGGAGGTGTTATGAACTATGGGCTCAAAGGCAATACTCATGTAGAAAGCATTTAATTTCTGGTATGCAGAGTATTTTAGGGTCATCATCTGGAGTCTTTCTTTGGTACATTATTAAAATCAAATTTACTTCAGCCAAAGAGTAATCTTTGAAGGCTGTATTGTACATACCACATATGACACTTTCATATCTTCTAAATAAGATACCCCAATTTCAATGGTGATGGCTGGTACAGTTCTGCCTGCCCATCTCTAATATGAGGGGTCTGTCTGTGAAACTTAGATCTCCTAACAGAGACTGACAGTCCTACAAGGAGGGTGCTTTTAATTTTGCCCCCACCCTGATTTAGCACATATCCCAGTCACAGGTAGATCAGGCTGGTAAAAAATTGTTGGGCTCCACATGTGCATTTGTAGCTAGCCGAGCACACTTATTTTGTGGATTGTATCCTATGGGATTTTCAATACATAAGCCCAAGATGCAGGTAGATGAATATCAAACTATTCCATATGCTGTGAGGCAAGGCTTTTAGGCAGAGGATTTGTTTCTCAAGCTTTAGAATAGAAGCCAACTTCAGTTGCCTATCAAGAGTGCTTAAGAATAAATGGATATTACTTGATGCCACAATCCATCTTTAAAAACACTTACCTTTGGCACTCAGAAATAATGTGTGATGAAAGCACAAGGGAAGAAGGGCAGGTGTCAACCACAATCCTCTATGGAGGGGTAAAACTCAACCAGACAAATGATAGCATCTACATTTAGTGGTCACACCACCTTGAAGTTTACAGTGGTGTTTGGCTGCCAATATCTGGGTCTGCTGAGCTGAAAAAGAGGTAGTTCAGCCCTCTTTTGAGGTTCAGAGACCAGAACTTTTCCAGCTGTTAAGGGACCACCATCCAGAACCAATAAGTTTACACATCTCCTATACCAGAGCTTGTAACACAACACTAACTGAGTTTGTCTAATTATCCCTGGAAGTGGGATAGTTTCGATCAAATTTGCTTCTCTTTATTCTCAAGATGAATGTAGATTTGGCATCAATAAAATATTGATTTCTCTACAGTGATCCTTTCCTTACTAAGCTCACAGGAGTTGGGAAGACTTCAAGTGCCTTTCTGTTATAACCAAGAGCCTCTGAAGGCACTTGCCTTCAAATTGTCAGATCTAAGGCATGTTAGGGGCATATAATGACCTTAACCTCAAATAATGTTGCAAGTGCATAACCAGCTCTATTTGCTACAGTTATGCATGTTGAACAAATGTTTGATGCATAAATGAAAAACATTAGGTTGATTTTATACAATTATAGTTGCTTTTATCCCCTTCCAAGATTTAATTCTTAAGCTAATAGTATAATTAATATAAATATATTTGAAAGTTAAAAGCAAAGAAAAATAGAAGACTATAATGAGTGCCATGTATTTATTGCCTAACCAAGAGGAGTTCACATTTTGTCAGTCTTGTTTTATCTGTCTCTTCACATACTGTTTCATTCGTTTTGTTGGCTGGACTGCTTCAAAGCAAACCTCTGGCATCTCTCACCACATTATTTCATTCTCAGGGAGTCATGATATGATCAAATAATAATTGGTCACTATATCTCTGTTCTCACATTTTGATAAGATACACACAAAGATATACAAATGGTATAAGAAAAAATTTCAGACTATATGCAGTAATCAGAATTGAGAATTATGTGTCAATTAAAAATGAAGTAAAACTTAAAAAAGACGAGAAAATTGAGGTTTATATTTTAATTTAGATAGTATCAATAAACATAGCTGTATGTAGCACATGTACTCCATTTTATTTCTTTATTTATTTATTCATTCATTTATGGTCCTGGGGATCAAACCCAGGATCTTGCACTTGTGAGTCAGGCAGAGGCACCACTGAGCTAAATCCCCGGCCCTGTACTCCATTTAAAAGAAGAAAATGTATCATATTCTTAAGGACTTAGCTTTCAACACTAAGAATGTATATATATGGTGTGTGTTTTATGATTTTATTTGAGGACAAGGGCAACACGTTTTGTCTATGTTTAGAAAAAGTTTGTATTTTGTTTATGAAAAAATTACTAGTACCTCAACAAAATAGGACACATGGCTTGTGAGCACAGAAATGAGTCAAATCACTTGGTGCACTTTAACTACGCAGAAAGACAGATCTCTTAGTGTGATGAGAAGCCAGGTCGATGAATTTCAGTAACATGAAGCCTCCTTAAAGCTTACCCCAATTTTTATTAGCCATTGTTGCACCAAGATCAAACATGAGACCCGTGAAAAATTAAAACTTTTTAATGCTCCCAATTTAACAACCTTAGATGATAGATTTCAGTCCCAAGAAAATGTCACCAGGAAATCACACACCGCGGAGAATGGATACTGTGAGAAACACCATGGCTTTGCTGCTGGGTCTCTCTGACCTGCAGGATTCAGCTGGCATCATACAACACAAAGCAACGGATTAAGCAGTTTACCAGCATAGTGAAAATATCAAGAATAAATTCATTTTAATAAAAAATCCTCTATTGTCAGTAGGTAGCCTAACCCCCAAACCACATACATTTCCTTGCAAACCTGTGTCCACAAACAAAAGCTTATGCTTTTCCTGTAACGCCAGACATGATCATGTTCGTACACTTTTACATGTCCTAAGAAAAATACCCAGCTTGGGCTGATGGTGTGAGAGAATTTATTTTCACGAGAAAGGGAATGACCCATAACTCATGCATGGCAGCGCTTAAAGTGAGTTATGGAGGTTACTCTCCTGTGAGAGGAAATGGATTGGATTATCCTGCCCAATTGTATGTTTGGTTATTAGCACACCAGGCTCTTAATTATGTGTGGCTTTGCCTTTTTTAATGAAATAAATGTGGATAAAGGGAATGTCAGCTAGAAACACGAAGTGCCTAATTGAGTTTCTGAAATGTAGGTAGAGAGAATAAAAATATGAACCTTCTTACTTGATTAAAAGATAGGATTCTTAAGTATAATTCACATATAGTATTCAAATCAATTAGCCCTATAAGTATAATGTCCACTGCTGATATTCTGCAAAAACATTAAATAATCACTCCTTTCCTAAGTAGAAATTTACCATGTTTTCAGTTACAGCTACAGGAAGATCAAAGAACTAGTTTTTCTAACATGCAGATTTTATTGTATTATTATAATAATGCTTCCATGTATTATTTTAAAGTAAACATGACTACTTACTATTTATATTGACAAGAAAATGCAATGCAAAAATTATGTTTGATGATTATAAATATCATTATTATAATAAGACATCTAGATCTCTTTGTACCTCCAATTTCATAATTTGCAAAGAAATTTTATTTCTGCTGAGAATAAAATTTTGGTTTTGATTGAAAATGTTTTATTTAAAAACTCAGTTCTGTCCTTTCGGAGGGGAAAAAAGAATTCCAACTGTTCTTTTATAATTTCCTTCCAGAAGAAATTTTCTACCTCAAAAATCAAGGACTTTTCTAACTGCAGACTGCACATGGCACATTATCCTACGCTGGTGAATAGGCTGGATTTTCTCCCTAACAGTCCCTTCTGCTACCTAGTTTGAATTATCAATAAAATGGCTTGGCTTATCTCTGAGAATAACCTTGTTAACAATACAAATGTGGACTTAAACACACTACCTCTACATTTAAGATTTAAGCAGCCCCCAGTAAATGTCAGGGGGTGTCAATGTGTTTGCTGTGATACTTGGTTATTATTAGTGTTTAACTGCAATTCCCCACCAGCGCCATGCCACCAGCACCGCCATAAATTTTAATGTGATCACGTGCTCTTTGCTTTTCATATCCAGTGAATTCTGCAAGATCATAATATTCCCTATGAACCCTTGCTGAACCTTAGTGTGATATGAAAGCAGAACAAGATTTCTAGCAGTGATAGTTGTTCATCATTTTATTGTTTTTGTTTTTAAATAACTGAACACGGAGCAACATGGTTCCTTGAATAATATTACCCTAAACTAAATCCACTCATTCAGTTAATCTTTATCGAGCCCCTACAGGATGCAGGGCATGGCCCAAAGGGCTAATGAGTACATTTATGTGATAGTAAAGAATGCTGACTCTTAAGGACCCCCCCATCACCACTGGAAAATCTGTCAGAGCTCATATATCATTTATAAAACTGAAAAATGTCTTTGCAACCCTAGCACTATTACATGCCCTTTATCTTACAGAATACAAACAAAAAGCACAGTCCTTTTCTATATCTTGTCTACATCATGAATATAAGAAATGTGTCTATCATCTTTCCTTATGGATGTGCTTGAGGGAATATTCCTTCTACATGTGCCTAGAAATAAAGAAAATTTGTACAGCTCATTGATCCGGTTTGTATTCACTTTAATTACAAATAATAACTGGCACTATCTACTGTATTTATCACAGGAATTAAAAGTTTGATAAGTTTTAACTACCTAAATAGCTATTTAAAGACAAAGGAAAACACTGAAGTTCTCATAAGATAAAAGTGAAATTGCAGGCCAGATACATGGAACAAATCAGTAAGCTGCCAATATGATTCTCAGTGAACTAAATGTCCATCATTTTATGCCAAATTGCCTGTCCTACAATTTTAATTTCTAAAGAGATAAAAATTGCTTTTTTACTGAGATATGAGCCTGAGTGCTTCTGCAAAATGTAATTCTGAGACAATAAATTTATTTCCATGTGTGGCAAGAGTTGAAGGTTAGGAAGCTGGTATATATATTTATAATTTTCTTGTCTTGTTCATGGTGCCAAACTTTTTACTCAGCAGTGACACACAACTCTGCATCTTTCTCTGCCCAGAGACAATGGGCTTAGGAAAATAGGCAATCACATATTTAAGGTCACATGGAGAACGTTGTATATGCAACTGTCATACACTAGGCCCATCCTAATAGCAGAATCTCTTCAGACAGACTGGCTTTGATGATAGGTTTTATAAGAAAAATATTTATTTGGTGCTGGGATGTGTGCCTCAGTATCTCCTGTGCTAGGAGAAAAGCACTTTCAAGGAAGGTTGATAAGGTGTTTTTTGTTTTTTTTTTTGTTTTGTTTTTTCACCCTTTTCTGGTGACTGGCTGGGAAACTTTGCCTTGGAGTGCCATCTACAGGAAAATTTAGCGCACATCACATGCCAGGCTGGTGTATAGCGAATTCTTTTTCCAAATTAATATAAAATTTTGGTTCTAATTCATCACATGTAGATAGAATATGAAATTCCTTGCCTAAGATTAAAGCAACGAAAGACCCTGGTAGTCTTTAGGGGTGTCTGAAACATTGATACCCACCCATGGAAATAATTTGGGGATCATTTTGCCATAGACTGAATTCATATTTCAGAAATTAGAACTGATGAGTGAACTAAACTTATTTTTATTGATCCAGTAATCTTTCTCTCTTCGTAATTATTTTATTAGTTAAAAACTTCTGGTGAACCAGAATGTCCATTGTGAAGTTGGAAGATGTATGAGTTAGAGACAAACAAAACTTAACATTATCAATCTGTTGTAATCTTTAGTCAAGTTCTTGAAAATGTAACGAGCAGAAAATAACTTTTCCAGATGTGGCTACACAACTCAATGTGAGGATGAACAAATAATATGCACTACTGTACTTTTTATTTTCTAGTCCTGCCCATCTCCCCTTAGAGAACATAAACAGCAAAGTCTCCTATTTTTGCAGTAGCATGAATACAAAGACCAATCTAAACTTTTTTCTAACAATGACAGTCTTTAAGTTTGCTGAGAGCATGTAAAAATAGCTTCACTCTTGGAATCTCTGACAGTATGAGATGCCCATCGCGGGCGCGTTGTTTGACACATTGTTCTATTTTCTTCATTTTCTGAAAAGGATCATGATGGTCCATAATATGAATGAATATTCACTGATAAAAATTTAGTATATGTTTCCTTCCAGTCTAAGGGTTCACACTAAATCCGTTGCTCTTGCCAGATTCCCACATCTCGACTACTCTAAGGCTTTTAAGAAAAGTCTGTTTCTGAACTTAACATCGCTAATTCACATTGTTACAGCCAATCCTATTTCCTTTGCTGAACAAGGTTTCTGCCTACTTATTTAGCGATTCCATAAACCCACAGGTTCTCTCAACAGTCAGTTAATAAGTTAATGTCCTCTGTGAGCCAGACACATGAACTCTGCAAGCGAAGTTCATGCGTCTTGTCTACTGAAATCTGATAAGGAAGACCAAAATGAGGGTTTGCTTTCAAGCAGTGTTGGCACTTTGCCTCTTGGCTCAAGGTAGCTTTGTCCCACCATCGACTGACAGCTTGTTCTGATGGTGTGCGCGAGGGATGGGCCCACTCCAGGTTTCCAAGTGAGCCTATCTGTTCCTTAAGAAGAGGAGACACAGGACAAGCCTCGGAGTAGAAACTGAAGGCTTGGTCTCTCCTCCTCCCCTTCTCTTGTTTCCGGCCTTCCTTCTTCCTCTCCTCTCCCTTCCTCTCCTCCTCTTCCCCCTCTTCTCCCTCCTTCTCCGCCTCCTCCCCTGCTCTTGTTTCCTCTCCTCCTCGTCCTCTTCTTCCTCCCTCTCCTCCTTCTCCCCCCTCCACCTCCTCCTTCCTCTCCTTCTCCAGATCCCTCTGCCTCCCCCTCTCCCCTCCTCCTCTGCCTCCTCCTCCTTTTTTCTGTAGTGGAGACTGAACCAAAGTCCTTCATACTGAGCTACATCTCCAGTCCCTTTTTAAATTTTGAGACAAGGTTTTGCTAAGTTGCTAACTTGCCTGGGCTGGGCTCATACTTGGGATCCTCCTGTAGCCTCCCAGAGTGCTGAGATTACAGGCAGGTGATATGACGAGCAGCTTTTCCATCTTCATATACTGTCTGAGCACTTGAGTTCAAGTCAATCCAATGGACATTTGTTGTAACCCTAACAAGTACATGACAGAGTGCAAGGTGCTGGTAGGGTCCTCAGTAAACGTGTGTTCAGCAAATATGTGACCGTCACTGAAAGAGTAAGAAATTGTCTCTTCCTTTGTGTGGTTTACTCTAGGGGAGAATGAGAGACTGGTAACTTAAAATACTTAGTAGACACATAGATGTGTTATACTATATAGTGTAGAGAAAAGTAATTATTGATGCTTTAGGAAAAAGGGAAAAACTGGCATTAGATCAATGCCTTAAAGGATAAGTAAAAGTCGAATAGGCAGAGAAGAGGGTGGAGATTTTCCTGGAGAAGTTGGTTTGGATCAAGGAATTCCGTTTTGTGACTAAACTTTAAAATGTGAAGATACAAGGTTTTTGTATTTATATTTTAAGAATCCAAAAATCACATTCTGTTTTTGGTATGGTAAACGTGTTTCTATATATGTTTCACATATATGTACTATACACATGCATGCATATATTACTATGAGACCAAAGGTTCTAGAAATCAGAAATCATTTTTCTTGATGTAAGGGGAAATAAAGGAAAAATAAGCCATAATTCTTGCCAGTAAAAGAGGCTGAATGGAGGATTGCCACAATCTTGGCCATAAACATTTGCTTTCAGATTTAATTCAAAGGCCTGCCTCTGGCCCAGTGCTCTGGCTGTCTGTCCTATAAAACAGTCTCGCCACCATCATTGGGTTGAAGCCCAGGGGCACAGCATTTAAGTCTATCGAGCTTCTAAATCTGAGAGCACTCACTCCTACCCATTCTTTTTTTTTTTTTCCTGTGGCCTCCTTGGGTGTTTTCTCAAATAAGCGTTCTCTCAAGATTTCCACCTTCCTACTGTGGTTCTCCACAGCCCATAGCATCTTATCTGAGGGCTGATTTCCTCAGTTCCTCCTCTCCATTCCTCTGCGAAAAGATAACATTGAACATCTGAGCACTTTTCTTGTATTTTCCAAGAAAGGACATTGAAAAGAGGCTCAAGTTCTCATTCTAAGGCTACATCTATGTCACAGTGTCAATGATTTTACAGCGGTAAAGTCCAGAAATTGTTTTCAAATATATCCTCCCATAACAAGGACAGGTAAGGTCTACTATAAAATAGTCATGTGGCAATTTTTCAGAGAAGTAGAAACACAAAGGCGAAGCCCAGTAGGTCTCCACAAATGAAAGGCGACCTTCTACCGTCTCTGAACGCACTTACAGTCAGCATCGCAAACATCAGCTGGCACACGTTGAAAGCGTGTCTCCAGTTGTGGTACAGGACCATCCGGTAATTTTTCCTCACTGTCAAGAGCCACCTGCACAGTGTCTGAAATGGAGTGAGAGAGGCTGTGTCAGGCAGTTGGATGTGTAACGAGCAGACCACTATCAAAGCCCTTCCACCAACACCCAATGTGAATCTCAAGGCACTCCCATGAGTGTGCAGGGCAGGGACAGTCATCCCCATTTCGTCTTTGAAAACTCCACTTTTTGGAGTGTCTGACACATCGTCCCAGGTGTGCTCCTTGGGTCACCCAAGACCACATCTTACCTCATAGTCGATTTTAAATTTCTGTACCATCCCCAGCTCCATGAACATCCGGAGAGCAGCCGTGATCATGGCATCAACGTCAAGGGAAAAGTCATCAAAATGAATGTTATCAATGGCCAGTTCTGACACCAGAGGGATGTTGGCTGCCTACAAAAGCAAAAGACATAAGTCGAGCCGGCTTCACCAGATTTCCCAACCCCGCATCCTGCTCTCCTCCCCTGCTTATCAGAAGTGCCACATAAATCAAGCCTGACCTGTGCTTCTACCCTGATACAGCTAAACTCTGAGCTTAAATGTTTTTGTTTCTGAGCTGCAAATGCCCCAAGCAAACGAAGTGAGCGGGGGAGGGAAGAGGGAAGCTAATCAGAAGATAAAATATATACACTGGATCTAGCCTGCACAATTTAGAATACAGAACTGTCTAGTTTGCCAAAACCATGGTCATACAATATATTCTGATGCATATTACAGAACACTAAATGCAAGAAACATCTGGGCAGTCAGCAGCTCTGAATTTTAATTGCTGCTCTTCAGGAGAGGGAAATGGGAAGACACCACTTTGCCTTGTTTCCTGTGTCCTTATATGCTGTAGTTTGCACGTGTTCTTTGTTACACACAAAAGAACAGAAAGGATCACACAGCATAGCTCTGGTGCAAAATATGTTGTCTTGATAAAACACTGAAGGGATGTTTGTTTGGAGGGTTGCCATAAGCATGTGTCATTGAAGGGATAAATTCTGCTATATTGTTTAACTTCATTCTATATCAACTTCATAGTACAATCACAATACTGGTCATACATAGTCAGGGTTTCCAAGAGGCCTGTATAAGGCAGCTGTCACTTAAGTGCCCCACACAAACCTAAAAAGCAGGGGAAAACCCTTTGGAAATCATTTTCACGCTGATGTCAGCAGTGTAGCATATATTTTTGGGCCACTCTTGGTGAAGGAGTTTCTTTTATGTTTTCATGTTATCAGAGACCATTCCTACTCTATTCTTTGGCTATAAATTACACTCGGAGTAATTTATGCCCTGGAACTGTTTTGGTTGGGCAGCTAAATCCAACCCCAGCCACTCTGAGCATTCCAGAAACCACATAATCAATCCTTTCTTCCCTCTTCTCTTCTCTAGAATTCACACATCTAAGCAACAATCCAAACACTGGTTATTCCCCCACAACATGGAAGAACAATGAACATATAAAAATTCACTATATATAATGCATAATATTTGTATAATTTATAGAGTTCATCTTATTACAATTATAATTTAGTTGCTTTACTTATACAAATCAAATATACTTTATAAATATAGACGATATAATTTCTATACTTCTATTAAAATTCCTATTTTTATCCTTCAGTAAATCATTTTAATATGTTAACATGTTCACACACTGTAACTTCTTGCCAAACTACAACAGGATGGAAAATCTCTGTGTGTATGTATCTTTTCTTGGAGTTTCTGACCCCCACACAAGCACTTTGATTTTTACTGTATAAATATTTTTAGTCAAAATTAAAAATGCACATAGTTTTAAGAGTAAATTAGCTCTACAGGCCAGTTCCACAGAGAAACACACACACTGTCACACACTCCTATTCACCCACACACAGTAGCAGAACTCTTCCGGTACAAAAATTTTCTCTTACCCAAGGCAATGGCTTTTAAATCATCTGGATGATTTTTGCATATGCAGCAAAGTAAGGTGTTTGTGATTTTAGGTTTGATTACGTTCTGTTTTAAATATTATCAGTTAGCTTTTCACCACTGCAGATGAACATTGAGCTGTTTTATACTACCATCTCCCATACTCTGCTGCTTCATATGCTAACTTTTAAAATCCCCTAATCCATATACTTTATTTAGCTATGATTTGGCATTTATATTATTACAACTCTGCATAAGACAGTCATAGATAAGTCATGTGATTACTATAATAACTTTTCCTACAGAGTTAATAATTGTCTTCTTTAATGTGTGCTTAGTTGACCACATACTTATAATTATTCAAACCTTAAACTCTTTGCTAGCTGTCTAAGTCTCCTCTCAATATGTTAGATCTTTGGAGACCCCATCGATTTCATGGCAAACCCACTACTAGAACAATTTTCTGCACGTCTCCAATGTGGACTGGCTGCCTTCTATGTCTGATGTGTAGTTTTCATTCTCTGGTGGTGCCTTCATCTCTCTTTTGCTTCTGAATCCCACCATTTTATTTTCTTGGTTTATCTCGGCTTTCCTGGGTTTGCTGACTTAAGATTCACCCAACTGTTTTCCAGCTTCCAAAAGTTTTTTACTCTTAAAACTCTGTCCTAGTTATCTTTGGCTTTGAGAATTTATGGCTTAAAATAATTCCTTTACTGCTGTCTTAGCAACAAGATTTTAGGAGGGAACAAAAGAAAATGAGAATATTTAACCTACTCTTTATCCACAAAGCACTATCATCTTTATTAAATGATACCTTAAATGCTCAGCTTGGAGAAGTCAGAGGTAATCCCTTTCTACGTGCAAACATGTCTGGCTGCAAATACAGGGACCTCTTTCTCTTGTTGTGTGTCTGTATTTACCTGGCTGTCATAGGTGAGGCAGGTGCCATGTTTCTTTTCATTAAGAAAGCTCCAGAACAACTCTACTCCCCTCATAGGTCCTTAGGATTTGCATATAAAGAATACTAGGTACTCAGAAAGATATGTGCTTGTTGCAATTTGTTCAAATTAAAATTCAAACAGGACAAAGAAACCATCTCCCAAGAGATAGAGGTCCCGTCCCAAAGAGAAAAAAATGTTTCTGCTCTCAGTAGAGAAGTCTGTTCTATGCTGGTGCAGAAGGCTGAACCCTCTTACAGTTAGTCACCAAGGAACAGAAATGGCTTTGGAGTCAGCATTGCTGCTCTCCAGGTGGCCCCTGTCTCGTAGGTCATTAATGTATTCCCTCATGCCATTATAAATCCTCTACAGAAGCACTAAATTTACTTAATTGTCTTAAAAATTAAAGAATATAGGCACTTTTTCATTATGAAATGTTAATGGAAAGGAAATAAGAACATTAGGTTGAAAAATGTGGGATGATCTCTGGTTCACCAAGCCCCAGCCTTATTGACCTTGTCTTTTCTTCTCCTAATAGGTTGATTGATCCACAGTTAAATCTTACCAGTCTATAGATCACCCTGAGCTCTGCCATAAACCCTGGCTGGCACATGAAGATGCAGAAAATGGTCCAAGCCATTCAAGAATGACTGACTGTTTTCAGGTATTTTGAGAAGTGTAGATAGTTTTCATCCCTACATTGCTGGGTTCAAGAGCAGGTTCTAGGACATGAAGAGTTGACAATAGTATGCATTCCCAGGAGCTGAGTGCAGACGCTTAGTCTGTGAAAGAACTGGGAACAGTCTTACACTGCCAAATTTCATGTCCTAGAAATACAGGTACCTCATCGCTTCTGAGAAACAGAATGGGATGGCATTTTCCAAACCTCTGATTATTCTAGCCACAAGATATTAGCAAAACAAATCAATCAATGTCTCTAAGTGTCAGTCTTCAACTTTTAAATATTTATAAGGTGCCATATCCTTAAATCAAAGAGGAGTGTCACAATCCAAAATAACTACTGAATTAATAGCCAGGAAATAACATTTGGATAAAAGAACCATTTACTTTACTGCAGCAATAAATGAAAACACAGAATTATGAGTCCTAGAGCTAATTTGAATAGTGTTCAAGAAGTGGGACTCTAGCTGTCTGGGAGTACCTGATATCCTTTGACCATTCCTCTTCTTTGTTTGGGTCTTAATAGTTAAGTGGTTATCAAAGGGACTCATAAAACTGCCTCCACTAAAATTGAAAAGGTAGTTTTACAAAGAGGCTGTAAAATGTTAAAATACAATCCTGGATCCCTTGACACATGAATATTACATTTTGTGATGCTCAGAAAATGGGAAGAAACAACAAAGTGTGCAGCAGTCCAGCCCCGGCAATTCAAAGGAAAAGGGGACCTGCTGCCATTCCAGTCCACTCACTCACTCTTCTGGATAGAAGCAGAAATGGGGCCTTAGGGCTCTGGCACTGATGGAGACAGGAGGCTGAGCTACTATAGGGTGGTGGGAAGGGACGGCAAAGTTTGTTCTTTTGCTAACACTTTAATAGCATTTATTATATGCCATGTACTTACTATTTTAGTACTTCATGAACATTAACTCATTTGATCTTCATAAGGACCCTAAGAAACGGGGAATATATAAAATTAATGTTACAAAGAGGGAACTGAAATAGATGATAAATAAGGTATCCAGATTTTCACAGTATGAATGGCAGAGGGAGATTTTAACTGGGTCCCAGCACTACACTGTCTCTGGATAGGAGCAAGGTCATGCTAAGAGTCCCTTATTCCTGTATTATGCAAACCAACATGGGTACACTATGGAAGTATCTGGACTTTACATGCAGAAACTAGCCTGCTGGTCTCTTTCTTATGATGAACAGACTGGATGCATTTAGTAGACAATGCTTTGGTTTTTATTTATATGAGCTTTGGGGGCAAGTCTCTAGGCTTGGACGAACTCCAGTAGTTAGATTCGTGTTCACTGAGCTAATGCAAAATCACTTGCATTCTCCTAAGTCCACCCTGAAAAAGTAACTTGTCCTCTGGGAAGCAGGACATGCTTCAAACAATGTTAGCAGTGCAGCGATGTTTCTAAAATGTAGGAACAACATCCTTTTGGTGTTTTCTCTAAAAGCAATTCATTTAATTTAGCTTATAATTGTCTAGAACACGCCTTATAACAGACATGGGCTCTAATCTTATCCCTGTCATTTACTTATTGAGTGGAGGTGCATAAGAGATTAACTATTTTTTTTTTGATACTGGAGATCAAACTCAAGTCCTTGTATTTGTGAGGCAGGTGAGGTGCCACTGAGCTAAATCCGCAGAGAGACTAAGTACTCTCTGTGTAGACAGTAACAAAACCATGTCGAATGGCTGCTGGGAAGAATGACTAAAACAGTGCACATAAACTGGGTGTGGTGGTGCACGCCTGTAATCCCAGCACTAGGGAGGCTGAGGCAGGAGGATCGCAGCAAATTTGGGGCCAGCCTGGGCTACATAGTGAGTTCAGGGACAGCTTGAATTACAAAGGGAGACCCTGCCTCAAAAAAACCAAACAAATTAACAAGCAACAATAACAACAACAAAACAGTGCACATAAAGAGCCTGGCTAAGTGCTTGGAACTAGGAATACTAAATAACAAAGGTTGTTATGACTCTGTTGGAGTATTGTTATTATGCTCACTATTATTTTTAACATCACATCAGACCCAAAGTAAGACAGGAGGGACATGAGATTTCAGTAACTGGATTCTGAGGATCTAACTCTCTCCTTTCCCCAAGACGTTTTAATTTAATTCACTTTTTTTTCCCAGTATCAGGGATTGAACCCAGTACCTTGCGCTTGCCAGGCAGGTGCTGGCACCACTGAACTATCTCCCTGGACCAATTTTATCCTGGGCACACATGCATTTCATGACTAACTCTCTCACAGGTGCTGAACTAGGTGCTTAGGTGCTGTGGATGGACTTGTGAAATCAGTGTGGTCCCTGTGCCCACAGCTAGTTGGCAGACGAAAGAAGTACACAGACAATCACACAGGGTGTGGTTTCAGTGCAACGATGGAGGAAATATAGGCCACCAGTGAGTGGAACCCCTGGGAGAAATGCTTTTTATCTTAGTGTCCTTGCCTTAGTTCCAAATTGCCAGTACAGGCCACCAGTGGAACCCCTGGGAGAAATGCTTTTTATCTTAGTGTCCTTGCCTTAGTTCCAAATTGCCAGTAAACTTTAGTTTTATTAGGTATATTTAGAATAATTTAGAATGTTAAAAAATCGTTCCTAGGATCAAAAATTTCTCAAGGTCACAAAGCCTGCACTTAGGTCATAAAGCCTAAGATATGAACTCCATTCCTGAGATGATCATGATCTACTCGAGGAGAAGGATGATTAGATTGAAATATTGCTGAAAAAACAAAAGCCTAAAGATCAGAGGCAACAAGAATGTCACTGGAGGAGGATCATGTGATGTGGGCATTGAAGGATAAGGACACAGTTACTTAGGAAATAAAACCACACTGGCTATTGCAGGTAGAGAACCGTATAGGCAGTATAGGGCTTCAACTTCCCCTGAAGATGGCACAGAACTGTGCAGTACAGGCATAAAAGGCCTAAGCGCTAACAGCAACTCTGCTTGTTCACAGGGATTCTGGGCTTGCTCTAATTGCCATGGAACCTTTGGCTTCCTCACTAACTATAAAACTCATCCAGGTAGAAGTTATCTTTGGCTTTGCCGAGCTCCTATCAGTGGCCTTAGACCGCAGCCCTGGTGCCTAGCTTTTCTGACTCTGGGACTGACTTCTGTTCACTGTCCACACCACATCTGCTCCCTTGGCCCCAGCCAGTTACCAGTCTCAGTCCTCTATGCTCAGAATTCCCAGAACTCCCTTTGAAAGCTCTGGTCACTATTTTAGTTAAGGAAGAATGACAAATGTTTTCACATGGAAAAGTGATGGGGTTTGTTTCCTTTTTGAATTCTTTGTTTTTTTGTTATTTATCATTCTTTTGTTTTTACTCCTCCCCTGGGAGAATGGAAAACCAAGCAGTCCTCCAAGAAAAAGAAACTTGTTTTTGGTTGAGTGGGGCCCTAAGTTTAATGGGTCATGAAGACCTGTTTTGAAAGAAGTAGAGAAGAAAATGCTGTGGAGATGAAAGGAAGAACTTGCCCTCTCACATAGGCAGGAATTGTTAAGAGAAAGGAGAGAGTCTCTGGGAACATGGCAGCCAATCTGGATGCATTTACCTAGGAAGCAAATGCAGCTCGCAGAGGACTCCTATGTGGGTATGGGTTGGGATCCAATAAGCCATTTGTTAGCTGAATCAGGATCCAGGTACTGTCTTGCCTCTGTTCAAGTGGACTCCTGTCATCCTTTGCCCTCAAGGACTCACCAACTACTCCTCCCATGGGAGACCCATGAGGACTTTATCTCACCAGCATCCGCATCTCACCTACCAACTACCCTGTAGTGTGATACCTATCTGGGCAATGCATTCTGCTCAGTTCCTAAGGTATCTCTCTTTGCTGAGACAAAATACATAACACCCAAAGTTAAAGGGTTAAAGGTTTATTTAGCTTACAGTTTTTAGAGTTTTCAGTCCATAATTGGCTGGCTTCAGGACAGAGTGGAATGGCAGACAGGTATCACAGAAGAGAAACAGTTCATGGTGGACAGAAGGTAGCAAAACAAGCAAGAGATCTTAGCAGTTTTTTCTTACCCTTTTATATTCTATCTAGGCTACCAGGATTAAGGCTGTCCAAACCATTCGATGGACCAATTTAGTAATCACTCACCCTTAATCTTAGCACCCTTAATCCTAGCATTGCAGTATGACTCAGTCACATACTCTGGATTCAGCCACCTCTGAAAAAAACCCCACCTATGACTGCATGAGGTTGTGGGGGATATCTAGACACAAGACATAACATGAGGACAACAATAAAGCCAAGAAAAAGGAGCAGGGTCTTGAGTACCCAGAGGAATGATGGTAGGGGAGGCCTGTACACAGGTCTGGAAAGCTAAAACCAGCTAGCTTAAGGCCAAGACAATGGTTCAATGACATCCTTGTTCCACCAGCAATATATTGTGTAATTATTTGCTGAAAGCCTGATAGAAAAGGGTAGGAATCACATTTGTCTTGTTCATTGTTGTGTTCTCAGAACTGTTACCAATATGAGCAGGACTTGGCACATGGAAGAAACTTGTTAAATATTCATTGCATGAGTGAATAAAGTCTTGGTGAGCCCCCTAAAAGCTATCTCCCAAGTTCTTCCCAGGCTGGGCCACAGTATTCTCTGGTGAAACTTTTTGCCAACTACCTTAATGAACACCTAAGACGCATGCACACACACGTGCCCCTCCTGAAGTTCAGATAATATAAGTAAATCAAGCAGCCTTCTAACTTTGGATAAATCTAATGATCTCTTTGTTTACATATCACTGGAGCTATTTGCAGTAGGGAACAAATGGAGAGTCCCTGACCCTGTGGTCCTGGTCTTAGGATTCCCAGCTGTGTGATTCTTGAGTGGGAGGACTGATGCTTCATCTTTCCAGGAAGGACATAGGTCCTTGCAGGGTGAATGCACGAGTGCAGCATGGTGGCCCCACGAGGTTGTCATGAAATTCTTCTAGTGTCCTCGTTCCCATTCCTTAC